CAAACATGAAGAACAATACCTTCTCTTGCTGTAGATTGCGTGGTGATACCATTTGAAAAACTTCATGAACACTAAGAGCCACAAATACAAATCGGTGTAAGCCAAAAAGAAGAAAACAAAAATCAGGATTGCAAGATTTACTATTTGACCTTATATGCTAGTTCTTTATGCATATACTACTAAATACATAATTCTCATTGTTGGTATCTAAAATCTAAATACCAATTTATTCATAGATTGCCAAGAAAGAATTATTTCCCCTGCTATTTACAGTTCGCAGTTAATTTACACCATTTATTACCCGTATGCGCCATGAAATGTAAAAGAGGGTTTTACCTGCTATCAGTAGTGTGACATTGAACAAGTATGAAATGGCCAGAGTAACACGATCTTCTCCATTAAGTATTGTTAGTGTAAACAAAAGCTTTAATAAGAGTATTTTACAAGAACTCCCCGTTAAGAAATACAACACTGTAATCCGACAAAAGATTAAAATTTCAGACAGGATGCAGAGGACACGAACTTACTTTGAAGGACTTCCTTGAAGAACTATGTACTCATCAACCAGCTGCAGTTCTCTTCATCAAGTGTGTAGTGAAACTTCTAATTGCAGTTTCTTCAAATTGGCTTCATATTCATCATCAGGACTCAATCATCGCCGTCATCATCCTAAACGAAGTTAATACTTCAATGTAAGCAAAACTAAAATTAGATATTGCATATTTCTAACTCTCACTAACTATAAATGAACTATGTAGCACATATATGCCTAATGTATTATTTGAAAGAGCTGCAAGCTTCATCTGCCAGCCTGATTTACATAGCAGTTTGTGTTTGGAATCAAACACATTAGATTATAGAACATAAAGACTTTCAAGACTAATATAATTCAAATACTCATTGCTGTATACTAACATTTTTTCCTATATTAACTCCACAGCTTGTAAGCACCCAACATATTAAATGTTCAAAATAGCCATAATGTATGTCTTTGACTACAACTAATTAAAAAACTAAATATTTTCTTATAAAAGTTTCCAGACACAATGTTGTTTCAGCGACCTCTATTGGAAAAGACCGAGGGCCCACTATATTGAATGGTTATTCTTCTAATCCAGAATTATACAAAAAACTCGCCTATTGAATAGAAAAGAAAAAAGAAAATAAGAAGAGAAGTGGGCTTCCACAGCCTGCCAGTAACAACTTGCTGTTTGGAAGATACCACAGCCCTAGCCAAACAGGCTGCCCAACATTTCAGCCACCATTCTGCGATCTTACCTCATTTCACCCTGAATGGCCAGTCTGAAATGCTTGGCAAGTTCTGTAAACTGCTCTGTCTCCCCCGAACAGTCAAGTAAGTTAAGACATATAGAGCTGCACAGACATTCTCGTAATACAATTTTCTGAATTTCCTTGGCAGGGCTAGCTTTATGGTCTGCAGTATAATTTACTGCCCCACCTTTGACTTGCGTGGCTGCAAGCTATCGCGCACTAAATACATTTTTTTTAAAATTCCTCCCCAATTTCAGTCTCCTAGATTGGTTAGATTTGAAATAATCCCACTTTTTAAAATATTCAATAAGAGTAAAACCTCCCTATATAGACAATTTTTCAGCCAGAAAAATTTGAGCAGTTTTAAGAAAAAAATCCTTTAAGCTCAGTGTAAGATGCAAGAATATATGAGGCTCTTTTCCAACAGGAATCTTTAGTGTTTTCAAAAAACTTTGTTTGATCTGTCATTTGAATAACTTGTCACTCACAAAGTGCAATGAATAATGGATACAAATCAATGGAAATGTATATTAAACAACATGGAGCAGATAGTTGCAAAATAAAAAATACGTTTGTGTTAAATTTCTGAAAAAGCCAAAAGAATTCAGCAAAAAATTAATTTTGTCATCTTACACAGTGCAATAACATCTATCCCCATGAAAATTTTGAAGAAAAAAACTTGGAGCCTGAGATTATGAAAAAAATAGCGTTTGAGGCCATAATACTGAAAAAATGCAAATTTTAAAGCTCGAATTTGACAGAAGAACAATTTGAATTTTGAAGAAAACTTATATGACACTCATTTAAAGCTGGCATGCTCAGCTCATAAATGCCAATAATGTGACCCAATCACAGTTATTGTAATAATTAAGTGACAAAAGAGGCTAGCGTCAATATGATTAATCTCTAAATTTTTTAAAAAATATTGATAGAATACAGCAATATGGCATTTATGTTGTCTCATACAGTACATTTAGCCACTATCCCCTACCAAAAGTTTAAAAAGGAAAATTTAGAGCCAGGGTTTTGAGAAAATCTTGTGTTCATTATTTTTTTATTATGCACGTGTATTGCACCCAATATTGTGTGAAGACAACCAAAAATTTTCAAGAAATGTACAATGAGTCTTATAACAAGAATTAATTAAAAAAAATGAGCAACTAATTCAGACCATATGGCAATTTAGTATGCATGTTAGAGAGCTTCATGTAAAAGTATTCCGCAAAATTAATCCATGTTTTTCAAAAATCATTAAGAGCCTTTGACTTAGGCCATATCAACAGGCGGGGTTTATTCAAAATAGGAAAAAATCGTATGCATAGTTTTAGGCCCTAGGTTGTTTACATATACCCAGACAGACACAGACATATTTGAGGAGTAGGAATGGAGGAGCGAGTAGAAGAAGAAGGAGGAGGAGAAGGAGAAGGAAGAGGAAGGAGAAGGAGAAGGAAGAGCGAGAGAAGGAGGAGGAGGAGAAGCGAGAAGAGGAAGAAGCTAGGAGGAGGAGAAGGAGGAAGAGGAGGAGGAGGAGGAGGAGGAGGAGAAAGAGGAGGCAGGAGAGAGAAGAGGAGAAAAGGAGGAGGAGAGAAAGGGAGGAGGCAAAGGAGGGGAGGAGAAAGAGGAGGAAGGCAAGAAGGAGGAGAGAGAAGCAGGAGAAAGAGAGAAAGAAGGAGGTGGAGAGGAGAAGAAGGAGGAGCAGAAGGAGGAGGAGGAGGAGAAGAGGAGAGGAGGAGGAAGGAGAGAGAGGAGAGAGAAGGAGGAAGGGGGAGGAGGAGCAAAGGGAGAAGAAGAAGGAGGCAGAAGGAAAGCGAAGGAGGAGGAAAAGAAGGAGCGCCAAAGAAGGAGAGGCAAGAAGAAGGAGAGAAGGAGGAAGGAAGGAAGGAAGAGAAAGAAAGCAGAAGGAGGAGGAGAGGAGGAGAGGAGGAGGAGGAGGGAGGAGGGAGGAGAGAGGAGAAGAAGAAGAAGATAGAGGAGGAGAAGATAGAAGAAGAAAATGAGAAAAAGGAAGGAAAAAAACCACAATCTTTTTCGGGGTTCAGAGGACTCCCAAACAAACTATGGAGGAAAATATGGTATGCAAAACAGCGTCGAAATCTCCAAAATAAAATTTTCCACAGCTGATAAACTTTCTCTATAATTACTCTGTGTATTCGTACCTATACAAAAATGTAAAAAGAATTTAAAAGAGATAATTTTTGAACTTTCTATTACATTTTAGACTGTATTGATTCCCATGCTTGTTTTAATACTAACACTTAGCAATGTTAGATTGCAGCAGTAGGAGGCTGGATAGCGCAGTTCGTTTTGTAGTTGGGTCCTCATAGAAGGAAAATTAATAGAATGCGGCGGAAAGAAAAGGCGACAGACCCAGTTATGAAAATTTCTCGGTAATCTAAAGACCAGCTACATCACAATACTTAAACAATAGTGGTAATACTTTGAATTTTGGACTGTCATTTATTTCATTTTCTTTGGTCAGATAAAAAAGGGTCTACTCTTTACTTTGCTAGCGTTCTTTGTAAATAAATTATAAACAAAATGAGAGAAAAAATTACAAGAGACAAAACCATGAAAAAACAGGCAAACAAAAAACCATTAAAAAAACAATAAAAAATACATGCAGATATTAGGTAAGGTGGCGCAGTCGAAGCATAAAGGAACATTCAAAAGATATGTCGTTTCATTCTACTATTGAAACAAAATTAAAATAAGTGCAAGCAACTACATAACTTGTAGGTCTAACCATGACCAGAAAAACTCACAACCTGATTGGACAATTTCAATAAATTATAAATTTTCCTTCTAAAGTAATTTCTTTCTATCAAATCAGATTGACAACTTCTGTATCCAAATTCACACTTTGTTCCATAAGAAATTACTATGATTCCTGATTAACATTTTACTTTCATGCTAAAACTGCTTTACATAATTTTCTCTCTCATTCAATTTTTATGAAATATTTCATCTATTTCACACAATAATATTGGCGTAGCTAATTTCACCAAGTTAATGCTCATTCTTGTATTTTATACAGAAGGTAAAATTGCTCAAAACTGCTAACTTTATCCATCTCTAATGAACTAACCCATGCAATAAGACAAAATGTTCAGTTCAAGACTCCATCTACTAGAACATCTTTTGGCTTTTACTTTCCAGTCACAAGACTAGGTCTCTGTAATAGCACAAGTTTCCTTTTCTAAACTACTGCATTTCGTAGAGTTTAACATGTTGCTACAGCTAGATATCTTAATTAATAATAATTATTCTTTTAATTTTTAATTCAGCATCTCATCAGAATGAACATGCTTATTATTTATAATTTTTTGTGTAATTTGTGCTTTATGCCCAAATAAGTCAATAGTTTATAAAAACTTACTGTCCACATAACTAATAAAAACAATTTAAAATGTGAAAAATCTCTCAGAAAATTTTGAATGTAAAACAAAAATTAACTGAACTCATCATTGGGACACTGACCCTCAACATGATACAAAATGTAATGAAACTGTTCCCTCACGACATGTACTCCAATGCACAATTCCCTGACAACAGAAGCGAACTTGGAATTACCATAAAATAAGACACATGAGAGTAAATTCCACTATTTAGTGGCAATGGACTTTTCTTGCCCATTTACTTTTGAATCAAGATCATTTCATGACAACTCAAGATGAAAAGTACACAATGTAAAGCAGGCACAGATTGCATTTTCTACATGGTGGTCCTACGATCTTCACAACCAACACCAATCAGCAAACCAGGAAGGAAAGCAGATCCTAACAGGTTAATGAGACATCTCACTTGAATGGAAGCTGTGATGTTGAAAGCATTTGGAGCTTTGTTTGCCACCTTTTCCTGCAAAAGCTCCAAATATTCTTGATTACTTTCGTCAATATCATCTTCATCACTAGATAGCACTTCTGTAAACAATAAAAACATACAAATTAATTAAATACAGTCTTAAGAGAAAAGAGAATTTATTTTATGAACAAATAATTGAACTTGCCTTGCTCTCCATCAGATTCTTCCTCTTCCTCTTCTTCATCTTCACTTTCTTGAGCTTTAGCTAAAAGATATAAATTACATCATTATCTAATTTTTCCTAGTAGTTTCTTAGCTAATGTCTTCATTTTCATTCTTATGTTAATTCATATTAAAAGGTAGCAACAAAAAAAATAATTTATTATATGAAACAACTTTAGCCAATGTGCAAAGCTAATTTTTTTTACTTTCCATACTTGAATGTATTTGATTGTCAAAGTAACTAACATTGACAACCCCCAAGTATTTGTATCTTGCATCTTGATTTTAACAAAATTACGAAAATTGGTATTATATGTACAATGAAGTGTCCCTTTCAGCAAAGTGCAATGGACTTGAGGTGAGAAAGTAAACTAAAATTTCTTCTCGTAGATTTCATACAAATCACCTATATGTTTCTAAAATAAAATGTAGCTCAGAGCACACATTTATTAATAACATTTACTGAAAAGCATATTTAATTTAAGAAATAAAACGGTTTTCAAATGTATTCAATGAAGTAGAGCTAACCTTCACTGTGTTGCAAGTCCTGCACATTAAAACATAAAAAATATTTACAAGCAAATATAAGAATCACTTAAAAACAAGGCCTTGCCACAACTGGTTTTTGTCTTAACCTCTGATGACAACAAAAATTATTCTCCAATTCTGCGAATTTAATCACAATTTTGTTTTCCTTATTGACTTTTTTCTTATTTTTTCTAGGCATCCATATATTCTGAACTGACAGGTGTTGAAGAGGAATCCACTAACATAGCTACAATATCACAAACCTGCATATGCTCGTTTCAATCCATCGAACAAGAGGATGAGAGATGGAATGACTTGAGCAGCACACTCATTAACAGCTACAGGTCGATTTCCAGTAGCACTGAGCAAAGTGCACAGTCCCAGCACACACAATTTCCTATCGTGGAGGCTGCCAAAATCAAATATGTAAAACTTAGTAAAGTATGCACAATCTCTTAACTCACAGATTCCATGGATTACCATAACACAAGAGACTAAGTCATTATTCATTAATTGTCTTTGAAATATTTTACAGAAAGGGAAAGACCAATGAGATTATTTTGGGGCAGGAAACAGAAAAACATGATCGCAGAACTAGAAATATATGAAAGCACCCATATTACCCCCAGTCGTAAAAGTACGAAAAAATACACAAAATTCAATAGCACAAAGCATTTTCTTATACACTTTTAAATTTCCCATTGAATTGAAAATTGAAGACATGTATTTTTTAAACATGATCTTATTCACCATTTGGTTCAGAGTTTTTCAATGAATGGCTTAAGTTTCATTTACGACAGTCAATTACATTTTTCAAAACAAATTTTATTTGCCACATAATGTTGACAAAGTGTTTTGTATAATATTTAAATGCATTATCAGGTGTATAACAAATAAAACACATAAACATATCAATTTGGATTTGTTATTTACCAGGTGATATCATGCAATTGATACGGTGTCAAAATTATACGGACAATAATAACTTTTTGGAAGAAACGTCCATCGATAGTCAGAAATGAAAATAGACACTTGTGTTCAATTATTAGTAAAATTTTTAATTTGTGCTACAATCCATATTTGAAACTGTACAGAATATTATATCAATTAAATCAATTCAAAAACTGCTTTCACATGAAAAAGTAATATAAGAAATACTAGAAACTTTGAATGTCTCCAAGACTATTAATTTAAACTCTTCAATGCTAAATTGAAGATATCAAATATCAGATTCCTTCAAATCCCTTTTATTACCTGAAATCCTGAAGTTCGAAATTAGTTCTGAAATCCTTGAAGAATTTTAGATACTCACCCCAAAAAGCAATCGGTGTCGTGGATCCACTGTTTAATGAAATGAGAAGTAATGGACTCATTTGTTGCAGGTGACACTGCCATCTGCAGCTTCTCCAGTGTATCAAACAGAAGAGTTGGATTATAATAGAGAGCAGCAATAACCACTTGCAGGCACATTGTACGAAGTTCAGAAGTCTTCACCTCCCTTGTGAGTCTCTGAAGTACCAACTCCACAAATGAGGGGATGCACTGTGACAAAAAAAATTTTTAGGATGCCAAGTGACAATATCAATCACAATTCCTAATATTAACAATGCACAAAATAAAATAAACACAAAATAAAATAAACATCTTAACAAACAAGAGGTTAACTCATAAATTTCACTAGTAACTATCAATTCTTTTATCAGTCATTTTAAAATTGCACCTTTCTTGTTTCATAAAATGAAGGTAATTTTACATTTTAAACGCAACTCTGAACTCTCAAGGGTTATATTATAGAGCTGAAAAGTATGTAGACCAAAAACAAAACCAACTAGCATTTTCCTCATAATGTGCGGGTAATAGCTCTATTCAATATTTAGGAGAAAGTGAAAGTACCCCAATGAGAATCATTCATGTATTTGGCTTCTACCTGATCAATATGTCCTTTACATTGAAGGATGACGACTTCCAGTAGTTTGGCAGCATGACATTCAGGGTCCTCACCCGCATCTCCAGTCAAGATCTGAAGGGAGGATTTTTTTTTTTTTTTTATTTCCATTTAATTTACTTACTAATCAAAGCTACTAATCAAATTTTAATACACTACTCACAGCTTTACACATATTGAACATAGCCAAAATATGATTTTCATTAGACAAAAATGCAGGAGTGTCTACAGTCACATAATTATGGAGAGCTGGCATCATATCAGTGAAATAATCAATTCCATCTTTTTGAAAAACCTACAACAAAAATCATTATTTTTTTTAAGTTGATCTCAACACATCAACACACTGAAGTAAAATACTGGGAAAGAAAATAATCTTACCTGATACATCAGTTCTAAAACTTTCCACATGTCAGGAGATATGCTCTTGCTGGTCAAATCGTACACAAGAGATAGTGCTTCCTCATAAAATTCTAAAAATGAAAAAACTTATAATAATTTCATTAGAAGACTAAAATAAGGATTATGAATATTCTTATGGCCATCACAGAGAAATTTTCTCTTTTAAACACAAAAAGATATTTGCATATCAACTTAGTTATTCTTAGATTAATATTTTTTTTGAATTAGCACTACTACAAATACAATGGAAAATTGCATAATCGAAATAAAAAGTTTTTTTTAATCTGAACTTGCACCATTTAAGTCAGTCAGCCTTTAACAGGAAACATCATTTGCCCTATAATACTTTTGAAAGACATTTTTGACGTTTACTGGCATTTTGGAATGTAAACCATCAACCACCCTCACAAGAAACGAAACCTCTTCTCGTAACAGTCACAAAGAAACAGAATTAAACCCTGAGTATGGCTCTAATCCTACAATCACACTAACAATAAATTACAACTGCTCACTACATCCCAATAAATTTCACTTCTTGTAAACACATACAAGGCAGACTATCATGTCAATTTGTTTAAAAGAAATGTTTCTTCTTTACTTTGCATTCCTTTAATTTTTATTGTGAATGTTTGCAGAGACAGCACTGGAAAGACCTTTAAGCACATTTGTCTCGCAGCTAAATCTATGGCAGGGGGCAGCTGTTTACACTAAGTGTAATAGAACTGTCTTTTAATCATGATACCAGGATGTAAGAAAAGCAGGATGTAAACAATTCTCAATTTTCTTGCTGCTGCATATGACAAACATTGATCAAGTATTGAATACAAACTAATACAGTAAAATTTCACTTGCACGTTTTTCAGGCGACTGGAAGGAAAAACTGTGTGAAAAAAACATAATTGAAATTGAATATTATGAGCAAAACTAAACTCAATATTTTCACACTGGTGCACTTCATTCTTGGACCCGACATGACTTGACTAATTTTATTTTATTTAGGCAAAAACATATCCTGCAAGTGAGGTATGGGGAGATGTAACAAATGCACACATTTTCTTGAACTCCTGAATCTCTTCCCATCATTTAACTATAAATAGTTGAATTCAACACAAAAATGCCTTGGGCTCCTCTACAATAATATAAATGCTCTCGCTTACTGATAATCTATGTCGTTATCATTTAGACATTATATAGTCCTGAAGGGGCTTTCATTATGAACATGTAAGGGTGAAAAACATATAAGCAACACAAATTTGTTTTGTCAGCAGCATTCCAAACAGTCTGCAAGGAGACAAATTTACTTAGACACAACGCATGACAAAATTTACATATCACATTCCAGCTGATATACAATTAACTTCTAATATTTAATAATTTGTTTAGTAACAAAGTAGATACTTATGTAACTTGAATGAAGTTTATGAAACTATTTTACTTTCTACTTTTTATAAAGTTCCCCTACATCTTCATGAGTTAATTGGTTCATGGAAATCATGGTCCTCATTCTCATTTAACTTTCATTTATTTACTTTTGTTCAATTTTATTTTAATTAAATCAGATTGTGGAGATAGATGTTTAATATATTTCCTCATACAGTATGGACAAGTTGGCTGGTTGACTCTGAAAAGTACAACTTGAAAATGAGAGTTCATTTAAGGCACAAAGAACCAGACTTTCAGAAGAAACTACACAAACAAATTAATGAAGGAAATACCAAAGACCAACAAAGAGTGAACACTGTTTTAGAAGAGTTTAATATATATGTAGACTCTAGAGAACCAAGAAATTGACTGAAATATTTATACAATGACACTATTTCCACATTAAGATTTTCAGATGATCGTCCAAATTAAGAGCACCATCAAAGCAATGAAAGTACAGAATCTATAGAAACTTAATATTAAAGCTGAAGGCTCTGAAATAAAGCTATTCACAAATATTTTTGGAAAATATCTCATCCAACACCAGTGTGAGCTCTACTTTCTGGCAAAACACGTGAATTTGCTGTTGATGGTTCAAGGTACTACAGATAACATTTCCTCAAAAATCTCTAATTCCAATGGCAATCACTCTGATCTGGGTTAAGTTGGGAATTGTTTGTGTCTCAAGACTCGAGTATCAAATACAAAGTAATAGAAAACCTTTCAAAAAATGCATTAATACACAAGGTTACTGTAAATGTTAATGCATTCATTTACATCCAAAGATGCTCCTCATAACCAACGACAGCAATAAAACAAAAAACATCCGTGAAAAAACTTGAAAAGCGGTAAAAAATAAAATAAAACTTTTATGAATTGTTTAAGACAGTTAACTGCCCTGTTGAACATTCACACTAGACACAAGTATTTGAATGTTTTACATTTAAATTTGTATCATGCTGTATGAACTGAATGTATTTCATTTTGTTCAATCATCTTGTTTCATTCAAAACAGCTCCAATATAGATTTGTAATTACCTAAACAAAATTTTATTGTAATAAGAAAAATTTCAAAGTATAATAAAACTTAAGAAGGAATTCTGTCTTTTCTACAATGTCCCACATGTAACAAATGAATTTTTTTCTACTGGTTTATAAATTTTTTACATTGTTTTTAAATTGTATGCAAAGGAAACACATTACAAAATGAGAAGAAAAAAATTAAGTGTAAGAACATACCACATCCACACAGTTTTTAAACCTTTGTTGGATGTCTTCTTACACATCTACTTATACTACTACAAGACCTACTTACACATCCCACATGTGAGAGTTAATCTATTAGCATCATTTTCCCTGTTTGATTGAGTATACAGTTTTTTTGCTTTCAACAAATTAAGATGTTTGTTTATTTCTGAAGTTTTAAGAAAGTTCAACGTTACAAGGAAAATGTGTTGTACTGTGAGATGAAGAGATAATTAACAATTAAAATTTGGGTGGATGTCCCATGTGAAATTGTGGAAAGGCCCACAAGTGGAAATTAAACCATAGACAAGTTGAATGGAAGGTCATAAGTATTATAGAGTACAAGTACTAGAGCAGGGCAAAGCTCTCCTCACTCAACTTAAAATGATAAAAAATTAATCACAATCTAGAACTTGTGCATCACTAAATTTGCATACTTCAATGCCAGATTACATTCAATTTTTAGAGAAATATTGAATATAAGTTAAATTAAGAATAGTGACCACAGAAATTATTTTGAAATGTGAGCGAACTTCATTGGAAAAATTCATAACTCAAGTAACATTCTCAAAAAATTTCTTATCGATTAGTCTACTGAAGATTTTAACAATTATTTGTTTCACATACTTCATTCTCAAAAAATAACACAATCTTATCACAATTATCGATTATATTTTCTGAAAACAATGCAAAAATTGATTTCAAGAAATTATTTCTTACCCATGACACTTTGAGTAAATATGTGACCAACAACAGAAAGAACTGTAGGCTGTAACTGAGCCATTATCTCTGGCTGATCCTCCATAACTGTCAGGAGAGTTTCAATTGTATTAAGCAGGCCCATAGCAGTTATGGCCTTTTCATCAGAACCTTCATCTGTTTCAAGAACTTGGCTAAATGTTGTAGCCTACAAAATAAAAAGAGTTAAAAATAATTCCTTGACCCTTGATATTTAAAATACCAAACTGACAGTAAATATTATTATTAAGAAACTTCACTAATGTAATGACTCACAAGATGTTGGCAGATCTCAAATGCAATGGGCATAAGCTGTTCAGTGTAGGTACATACAATCTTCTGCATTACTGAAGTGAGATCATCATTCTCTGTCTCTCGAATTATAGTTAACAACTCCAATGTAATTTGTTTAATCTGCAAAATTATTGAACATTAGCCTCAAAAATTTCATTCTAAATAACCTCTAACTCCAACTGTGAGAAATCACACCTGAGGCTCCACATATTTCTGAGCCTTTTCTTGGGCATTGAGCAGCATCTGAAGGGCAATAGCAGCTTCAACCTTCACAGGCAAGTCTTGATCAGTCAGCAGAGCATTTGTTGTTAAACGAACAGCTTCAGCAAGAATGGCCTCCTGCTTGAACTTTATTTCACTAAAATAATGAAGTACCCAACATGCCTAAAAAAAACAACAAAAACAAAAAATTAGGAAAGAACACCACAAATAAAATCACTAAAAAATCAATGTCCTACCCTAGCTCTCATGTGGCCACGGGGACTTGCAAATTCTGGGAACACATACTGACACAGCATGTTGTCCATTTGTTCTTTATACAACTTCTTCTTTAGTAAAACATCAGCAAGTGTGCCCACCTAAAAAAAAAATTCTATAAAAATGTACTTGTCTCAGTTTAATTCAAAGAAAAACAATTTCAAAATAGCTTACCATATGAAGAGCACCATCCTTTTGTCTAGGGTCAGCATTAGGAGATGTCAACACTTGCATCACAAAATGCATTGTCTTTTGCAACATATCTTTCCTTTTCTTGCAACATGAGTGAAGAAGGGTTTGTGCAGCAGTGACGGGTGATATAAAATCTTCAAAAATATCTGGGGAAAAAAGCACTACATAAAAGCTTCTCCAAAAAATTCATTTGCATTCTGTGGGGTAAATACTCACCAAATTTAACTCTGATATATTCGTAAGGATCTGAGTTCCATAACTCTTCATCTGCTTGAGAATATGACAAAAGAGGAAACAGCACATCTTGGACAATAGCAAACATATGGGGTTTCAGGAACTTCCATGAAAAGGCATGGCTCACTCTAAAATAAAATGTTGATATAAATGACACAAATTAAAGAGACAATGTAATACTAAAAATAAGATATTAAATTACCCTTGATTTATGTAATTAATAGTTTGCTGTAACACCCTTGGAGATACATAGATCTTTCTTCTGTACTGGTCCAATACTTTGAGCAACACTTCCAAAATACCAGCAGAAAAGGTCTTCAAATACCATTCAGAAAACTCTCGGTACTCATGAGAAACATTACCAGGACTTCCATATCTGACATTTAAAAATAATACACATTAACAAAGGTTTATTTGTTCACAAGAATTTTATATACCTGGCAGGATCTTTCATTACCTCTCAAACATTCTATACAATATATGCAAAGCCCATTTTTTGCACTTCCACCATGGCAAATCTACTCTATCATCCTCATCAACTGAATTGGTCTGCTCTGGCACTGGGCGGTCAGCAACAGCCCTAGCTATTTCCATCCATTGGGAGAAAACTTCACGGGAAATTAGGTTAAGTGGCAAGGAATACTGTAAAAAGTTGCCAGAGTAATTAATAAGTAATAAATTTTTACAATTCATTTAATTCACAATCATTAAATTAATTCTTTTTACCTGGGTAAGGGCAAAATAGATTTTAAGAATTTGTTTCTGCAACATTACAGATTGTTCAGATTGATCAGGCAACAATCGTACACAAAGCTGATACATCATTGGAAACAACAAATTCATTGCTTCATTCAACGGTCCTCGATCCTCAGGTTTCTTGTATTCAAAATTTTTAACTAACTGGTACAAACAAAGTAGAGCTCCTGACCAGCCAGAAGCATCTGGATTTTGCAAATAAATACTAATTTTGTCAACTATTTGTGTCCATCGTGCTGGAAAATCATGTTTCACTATGTTGCTCACACAAACAGCCAATTGGACTCTGTTAACACAATGAAAGCAGTGTTCATTCACAAATACATGAAATACGTGGCAATTCATTGTATCAAATTTCTTTTCCTCATAATATGTTTTACCTGATAAGATCTGGAGCAAGAATGACAGCATCGACAATTGCATCACGAATCATTGCACGGTCTTGTTCATGAATGCTGAAAGGTAAAGGCTGACCAGGTTCAACCTCTCTATCTGCCCAATTCTGGGTAATAAGATTCTTCAAGTAAATGACACCTAAATGCAAAAGTCGATCAATGGATTGATTCTAAGAACATTTGACAAACCAAATACACTTTGATTTTCACATTTAACAATAAATGGCTTTACTTTGAGTTAAGATTTAGCATGTTTAAAGGTCACCAAAACCAAGACCACACTACATTACATGAGCAAAGAATGCAATGAAATAATAATAAATTAGTACACACCTGCCTGCCTAACTGGCATATCTATATCATTGAGCATTATTACTTGAAGAAGAGAAGGAGCAAAGCCAATAATTTTATGTATCTGCAAAATAATAAAAAGTCACAAACATTTTAAAGAAAACTACAGGAAAACCTTGGCCCACAAATCCATTGAAAGTAGGTAAATGAAAAATAAAGAGAAGCATGTGATTTTTCTCCATGAACTTTCAGTTTAGTAACAGAGTCTGCAACATCCTCTTGAATTTTGCAAGCTTCATTATTAAAACACAACCCCATTGTTAATAACCACAGGCTTCCCATATTGAGCTTTACTTTTTCAACTATTTTAATAACTTCACATGTACATAATTTACTTCTTGTCTATTATTTATTATGAACTCAATTCTTAAAATCATTAACAATCAATCACAATGGCTCAAAATTGCAGCACTGACACTTCAAAATGAAAACTATTATACTAATGTTTTCATTCCTTGTGAGTCAATATTGTTCAGTCTATCCTAGACAGTCACAATCCTATCATTCAAAATTTAATAATATACATTTTTTTTCTTTCTCATGTTTCTTATGCCTTTCCATAGCATTCAGAAAATGTAAGACTTTCTCCATATCACACATTTCCAAATGCTTAAAAATATGAGTCAAGCTAAATATAAAATACTTTACATTGTTGTTATAAACAAATCCTAGTCTATATACTAAACTTTTGTCAGCTTGAACAGTAATAAGACCCTGATGAAGCTACATCAAAGGGCAAAGGTCATAACTGCATCTCCATATTTGTAAAACTGGGAAGACCTTTTCTTATTTGTTTTATGATGCATTCTGAATTTTGCAATAAATTATTAACAAATGTTGGTTAACAATTGTTTTGATTATTCTAAGTAGTATTCCATTTCACAATAAGCTATTCATTTCTCACTCTATGAATTTAACATATTACAATGCTTTGTGTTATACTAGTGTGTTAGTAAAGTGATCTCTGCTGTTACTGAAATCAAAATCCAAAGTTCAAGTTCTGAAAGTTAGCCTAGGCTTCCTACACAATAATGTAAATTAAATCACACTTTTACTTTATTCTAATGTAATACCTAAAATTGATATCAATGTGGTAATTTGAAGTTTTACTTTCTCTACACTGAAAGATTGGCAATGTGAACCCGTGGCAGATTAAAAAAAAGTCACTTAACCTAACTTTTTGGAAGTAAAATTAAGTCCAAACGTTGGTCTCCAAATGACAGATGGGGAACAATAATACAACAATTGGAGTGCATTAGCAATACATTTCTGGATATGTACTTAAATAGTTAATTGTCGGTATTTTATTGACATAAGAGTGAAGCGTGCATCGAGTCACAATGAAATGCATGAAGGTCAGACAAGCCACATGTTTTCACATACCTGGGTCAATTGTTCTTCGGCTTGCTGTCGTTGATTAGGGTCTATAGTTGCTCGTAGAACGTCTTGAAGCTTGCGGGTATCCATTTTCGATGTCTATGGCAACAAATACACTGAACGTAATGTATCAACAAATCTATTCTTGATAAATCAACCCGGCACCCCTACAGCCTCCTACTCCAACAATATTCTACTCATCACGTGATTCTATCAGAGTAATATGGCGGGCACAAATGTGACTAGGCCTTCCATGACTCATCGATATGATTTATGCCATAGAAGTAATGAACATAATTGAAGACTAGTTGATTGTTTCGCGATCGAAATGTTTCTCACCAATAAATTTTGAGTCATAAGCGCGCGCTGTGATACTTATAACTTGTTGAAAATTAATACCAAACAGGACCATCAGCGTCGCCTGACAGTAGTTCCCCTTTTCATTTTCACAACTCAGATCGTTGCCGATAGAGGTTTAGGGGGCGGTGAAACAGCTGATTTTTATGTTGTCAGTTGTGTGAGCCATGTGTTGAGCGGCATTGCAATTTTTTGTTGGTCTGTTGAAGTGTTGCGTACCCCTTCTGTACTAAAAAATAAATGCCTATTTACTCTAAACAATCATTATCATATAATTTGTTTATAAATGCGAAACACGAAAGCGGGAGATGAATTCAATACATATTCCACGAATACAAGTATCGTTCTTTAGAAATGTTAAATTTTCTTTCGAACGTGTGTCGAAAAGAGGAAAAACTTCTCTGTCTGACAAACAGATTAAATCAAAAACGTAAATAAAGTTAAAAAGATGCTATGCCGCAATCTGTGATTATATCAGAAACGAATATGATAATTACGAGAAAATTGTTTCAGAGGGCACTGGCAGAGTGTTGTCGGTCTTGAAATACATGCACAAATATCTTCTCGCTCAAAACTATTCTCTGGCGCTAGTACTAATTTCGGCTCTCCTGTCAATTGTAATGTTTCCTTCTTTGATGCTGCAACTCCAGGGACTCTGCCAGTATGTTGGAAAATCATCAGCATATCTTTATTTATGTGAATATTTAAATGTCAAGAGTTAAATTTCATGAATAATATGTATAATTTTAGGTGCTGAACCGAAGTTGTGTGGAAGCTGCTGTTCTCACAGCCTTGGCTCTTTCTTGCAAAATCAATGCTGTATCTTTATTTGATAGAAAACACTATTTCTATGCTGATCTTCCAGTAAGTGAATTGGTTTTGCCAAGTATAACAAGCATCCCACTTGTTATGAATATGTAAAGTGTATTGAAAGTAAAGTTGTCTTATGAATTTTTTAAAGTGCATTTCTATTAGTATGCTAAAAAAGTAGAATTATTATCATTGATTTAAAAAAGCAAAAGCTATTTAAAATATACTTCTCTTAGAAGCTTATTGCCCAAGGTACTCTTTAACGTTTTTGTTTTGTTCTTTAATTTAGATTTAGAAACAATGAATTTTGACAAGTTTAATAAATTGTTTTAATTGTTAAGTTAATATAATCATACTTTTAAACTATTTTTATTGCAATAGTTAACCTATATGGATATTTGTTCATTGAATAAAAATTGTCTTTTATCCATTGTTGTTTTTAATATTATCTTAAGTGTTTTATCAGTTTGGTTAAAGTTACAAAAAATGTTCTTACAGAAATTACTTACTTTCTCATGTATCTAGTTTATACATTGTTTAGAGAAAGTTTTGTAATGCTACAGAAATTATTACGATGTGAAATTGAGATTTTAACAAAAATACTCATTTTGGAGTCCTCTAAATCTGAGTGTGTTTTAGTGAAAAGGTGTGTCTGTCCAATCTTCTGCTTGCCTATGTATGAATGTGCTAACATCTACACCATACATAGGATATTTTCCATTAAGAATATTCCCAAATAGATAAGACCTGACTCGAAACCCTGCAAGTTTTAAGTGAATATTTCATGTGAAAACCCAGAAACAATTTCGAAATTTTCCGAAAAATAGTTCCAAATTTTTCATAAAAAGTTTTTGCTGGAATATAGAGCCAAAAATACATAAAGACGGCTTTGATCTGATTTTTGTAAACACATTTTTTTTTTAATTTGCAGAAACTTATAATTTATTGGAACTACATTATTGAAGATATTTGTCTCAAATTTGTTCTTCAGAATTAGATATTTAATTATTGTCATGGACATTTTTTGAAAGTATGAAGAGTTTGAGTTGACCTGTCTATGGATAAAGTCTGAGTGTGACTACTTTGCATGGAATGAATTAAGATTGAATAGATGGAAAAGGAGGAGGAATGATTGAAGTGAAAGAAAGATAATGGAATAAGGAATGGAAGAATTCATATACATATTCTAATGTGAATTTTCTATTCATTCTACTTTGAAATCTATTTAAAATTTGTTTTATGGGATGACTGGATTAAGATCATTTTAAACTCCACCAAGATATTTGCTATTATAATCAAAGTTTGCCTTACGGAAAGATGAATATGAGAGTTAATTCACTCTAACTACTCCATACGTTATGCTTTAGTTATGTTGCATGGGTGGGAGAATAAAAAGTTGAGGGCATCCTGTTGAGTTGACATGCTGTAACACAGTTAATTTTACAATATACTTGTTTCTAAGTGATGACTAGAAAAGTAATTGGTTTGTTTTTCTCCCCCTCAAGGGTAAATTGAAGAGCAGTCTCCTATGTATTAAAAGCACTCAAAAGATTTGCTATTTGTTCTTCGTGAATTAAGACAAGTTTACCATTTATAATATAAACTATTGAAACTTGAAGAAGTGTTTTCTCACGACTGTTTCTTTGTGCTAATTATCTGACTTTACCAGCTAGCCAACATTGTCCCCCATTCCTGAGCCCAGTTTAATTCCCATGCTTAGAGAGATATGTGGTGAACAAGACATATTCCTTTTATTGTAACTAGCAATCTCTGCCTGCCTGAGCTTTTCTTATCACACCCTACAGAAACTGAGATGATATTAAAGGAAAGATACAAATTGTATTTTTGCTCCAACCAGGAATTGAACCTGGAAACACACCACAGGAAGCTAGTACACTGCCCAAGAGCCATCCTAGATGTGGGGATAATTAATATTATTATTTACATTCTATAATATATATTTTACATAATTGATAAAAGTTATAAATAATAAAAAAAGTACATAGTACTTGTTTAAATAAAATTATATTTAGTTTGTTGTTGTTGTTGTCCAAGAGGAATACGAGGTCTGTAAAAATTATTGAAGTAATGTAATTATAAATCATATATGAGTATACCTAATATATTTGTTGATAATTTTCAGAGGATTTAATCTATAAAGTTTATATAATGCTAAAGTAGTTTTATCCATTATTATTAATATATTTATATTATTATTTAATTAATAATTTGCTACTTTAAATTGTTTGTAAACTGTGTTATCTACTTACAAAACTATGAAAATATATTTGGATAATCTATATTTCAAGTCCTATTTCTAGGCAGGATATCAAATTACACAGCAAAGAGCACCAATTGCAGAAGATGGAAAGCTACAATTCCAAGTATATACACCAAGTATTCATAAGAAACCATATTTAAAATCATCACGAATCAAACAACTTCAGCTGGAACAAGATAGTGGAAAGTCACTCCATGACAGTACTGAAAAAAGGTGGTTGTGTGTGATAGTTTTTCAATTTATGTTAAAAGTTGATTTGAAAATTGAATCAGGCCTTTTGTTTGTCCAGGAGTCTTGTCGATTTGAATCGGGCTGGTGTACCACTGATGGAATTAGTGTTTGAACCAGATCTAGAGGATGGAGAAGAAGCAGCAGCTTTGGTGAAGGAATTGTGTCTCATTCTGCTGCGGCTGAATACTTGTTCTTGTAAAATGGAAGGTGTGTTTGTAAGAAATGATAATATTGCAGCATATCAAACATGATGCCATGCATTAAACTGTCAGTGTCCTCAAAATTATTACAAACATTGAGCTATTAAAGTTCAAAAAGCTTTTGTGAAATACAATAATGTAATTGCTAATTCAGAGCATGTGTTTAGAGAAAAGTGCCTATTGATCTTCCTTCATGAAATGCTTATTATCTGCTTTAAAAAAGAAACCTGTGGGTCTGTTCCTTGATTTATTAGATGTCTTTTAACATACCGTATTTACCCGAATATAAGATACGTTTTGTTGTTGTTGTTTTTTGTTTTTCAAAACATTAGTCGAAAAATACGGGTCATCTTATAAGATTTATATTACGAAACATATATCTCATGACACAAAAGGCATCAGATAAAACACGAAGAACACATATGGAACAAGAGCCAAAAAGAAAGCAACAGTGGTACATGTGAAGATGAAATGGCCAGTGACAAAAATCTGAATATGATGAATTTAAGGAACAAGAAAATTGTGATAGCTCAGGCAATAAGTTTTAACATTCTCAAGAAGGCAATTTTCTAGTCAGACAATTTGCAATTTTATTGTGACGAAATACTAATAATCGATTAATTACAAATAAAAAAAAATTATCGGCCCTCTTTAAAATTAGGGAGTTGCCATTTATTCAGTCCGCTAATATCCAGGTTAATATGGTATGGTAATCATTATTGCTCTTGCATTAGCAAAAATAATTTTATTTTTTAGATTGCTGAAGTTTACAGTCTGAGTTTCTGTTGTAGAGGGAGCTTTACGTGTTGATGCCAATGTCTCTGTCCATCAGCCGAGTGAGCCTTTGGGAACTCGCACAGAAATCAAGAATATTGGCAGTATTAGAGGTGTTGCTAATGCTATTCAATTTGAGATACAAAGGCAAATTAATATTTTAAATAAAGGGGGTGTTGTTATAAATGAAACTCGTTCTTGGGATCCTGTGTACAAACAGACATTGCCTATGAGAGATAAGGAAGAAAAGCAGGTACAGTCTGTACAAAATTTACTGTTCATTTATTTCAAACTTTGCTTTTTTCCAATCTCGATTATTTATTTTGTTGATATATTTTCAGGATTACAGATATATGCCAGAACCTAATCTACCTCCTTTGAGACTCTTGATAGAGGGACAACTTATTCCCAAAGATGCTAAAAATCTGGTTAATGTAAGAGAATTGCAAAATCGTATTCCAGAATTACCAGAAGAGACTAGAAGAAAACTTATTAAACAATATGGGCTCTCATCTGAATCTGCAATTCAATTAGTGGTAAAAAAATGGGAGAATAATTATTAGTAATAGATCTTCAATTACTGAATGGTTCACTGTTTATTTTACCTGACCTGACGTGATAAAAGCTGTCAATTCCGAAAACATTTCAAAGAATCAAATACATCCTATGACTAAGTGTGACTAAGAAAATGACATACAGAAATGCAACACACTGTGTAATGATAAAAATAACTCCATAAAAAGTAATAAAAATATTATTTTCCTCAAAATTTGTTAGAACAGACTAATTCATCAGATGTTGTAGGCTTCGGCTATTACCCTAAGCCCTAGTCAATATCGTGGCAACCACGGATAAACAATTCTTTTTAATCACACATTCTTGATTTGTCCTTTTTAAAGTGTACTTAAAGGTAACACTTACGTTTTCCCCACTTTTAATTTCTTTACCAAAAACCTGGACAGAAGTGTTGTTGTGTTTGTGTTCTTCAATTTGTCTAATTTTCTCACCAAGAGTTAATGTTTTCAATTCCTGTCATCGTAATTACTTGATTAACAGAATTCCGGCAATGTGTCAAACTGAACAACAGTAAAGGTTTAGAACTGCTAAATGCAAAGCTTGCATTACAAGAATGTGGAAGAATTGCTCTTTGCATTTCTTCTTCCTCTATGCAGACTTGGTGGTCAGTGCTATCACAAATAAACCGTGGCTGTCGTATGAGCAGCATGGGAAATGGGGCATTCCAACAAAGATAGCTGAAAAGCAAATGGACAAGCACAGACAGCTCTGAATGTCTTGTGATATAATGACTAAGAAGTCAATGTTTAATTTTAAAACAATATTTGTTTTCAATCTTATCCACAATTTATAATATCGTCTACTATACTACTATAAATATACTTACACCATAAATTCCTTTCCGTTTTCTGTGTTATTTAGGTTTGCGGTTTATCCACTGTACTTTGCATTGGAAAATAGACCAATAACGAACCATTATGCTAATTGTACTGAACCACACCTTTTCCCTAGAACATGTTAATTGTATAAACATAGCAACTAAAGAAGGTGTGTCTCAGTACATTACATGTTAATCTTGGTGTTTTCTGTATGATATGCAATTACAACATTAGTTAATTTTATTTTCAGAATGAAGACCAATTGCTACAACATTTCATTGAGATAATGAAATTAGAGGGAAGAGATGCACAGATGATAGTGAATATTCTTTTAATACATCTATTAACAACTTTAAACAAGAATAAATTATCATTAGAAAAATGGTATGTAAACTTTCTGGAATCTCACATTGTAAGTTATATCGTGATTTTCATGTTATGTTTTATAATTGCAGTTCTGTCACCTCTGCAACATTGGGTGAAATAGTTGATTTGTTGCAAGAAGGCAGAATCAATTTACTTATCGCTAAGAGGGTTTTAAATGAAGTTGTGATTGGAAATTTGAAGTCTCCATCTTTGGTAGATATCTCTTTGATTTTTTATTATAAATGAGTTTATCATCATTTTTCAATTTGTATCAATATTTTTATAGATTGTAGAAGAAAGAAAGTGGATTCAAATAACTGATGAAGATGAAATTACCAAGATTTGTGCTGATGTGTTGAAAAACAATCAGAAAATGGTTGAGCAATATAGAAATGGGAAAACAAAATTATTTGATGCTTTTGTTGGACTTGTTGCAAAGCACACTGACCAGAGGGCAAACATGGAAGTAGTAGTGAAGAAACTTAAAATGTTGCTGCAAAAATAACTGCTTAAAGAAATCTACTTTTCCTAGTGCTCAAATGCAGAAGAATTGATGCCACTCTCGAAAGATGTGATGGTCCTCAAACATTGAGGATTATCATATCTGAAAGCAATTGAGGCCAGAGAAAATGGACTTGTAAGAAGAATCGTCAAGTTTCTTATCCCTTTCACATGACTTGGAAATGCTATAAAAATTATTCATGTAAACAGGACTTGTTTTTGTTAAAGTGCCCTTATAACTTTAATGAAACGACTTAAAACAGGGTTCATCATGGAGCCAAGGCCTATTTCTCACAGCTCTTGAGAGGTGGCTGGGACCTAGTAGGAAAGCAATGAGAAATTCATCACTTAAAAAGCATGCAGACCATTCTCATTCCACTGCATCATCCCCATCTCATACAGAGATATTACCCATGAAAGCCTATAAGCTCAGATACTAAACCATCTATTCAGATTGTCTTAGGATGATTATTTTGGCTTCTGGTTTTGACAATATTTAAACAAACAATTCTATCAAGGAAGATATTTCAATCAACACCTATGATAATCAACACCTATATAACCAGCAGGTTCATGATCAAGCAGAAGTGTTGTAGAATTATCTTCATATTTTAAAAACATCATTGAAAATGGTATGGATTTAGGATATTACATGCCTCACTAACCAGATCCTGACAAGGCATATGGAACTGAGCCAACCAACCCTTGTGACCTTACCGCTGCTTTGCTCTTGCTACTGCTCCCACTTTATGAGTTTCGGCTGCTACTGCTCTTGGCAGCTTTTGACTCCGAACTTGCCTTTCTGATTAGCCCTGTCTGAAAATAAGAGTACTTTGAAAGATGAAATGTTATCTGTTACTGTTTGGTATTCAAGAGAGAAACTTGTTTAAATTGCAAAAAGCACTAAGCAAATTACTAAAAACACTTATAAAAATGAATGGAAATGCTCCTGTCTGTGTTTCATAAGGTTTCACATGTTACCTTCTGTAAATTAGTTGTAAAATTAGTTCATTAAAATAATTTATTAAAAAAAAAAAGCTTATCATTAAAAATGATATGTTTTATAACTACTGGGTTTATTTCAGCTATAATTCCCTCATGAAAACTTATTTCTTAGCACAACAGTAAGCCTATTCCTGAACTCAACTTTTAGAAAAAATAGGTATGCATTTTTATATTTCAGGACGTCAATTCTGTGCTTTTTCGTGACAAATGCCGTTTGATTTTTTTCTTTATTATTAATCAGTCACATGCATCTAACCCCTGTTAACACACAACCCTACAGAGTTGTTAAGCGCACTTGCACCTACCTGTATGGTAAGAAATGTAACATCCTTTGCAACATAAATAAACAAATCAAATGTTTATTACGAAAAAAACTGGTGATGTTTCAGATTCAAACAATTCAGAATATAAGTAACCTTAGTTTTGGGGATATATTAATTGTAATATTAAAAGTGCAATTTAAAAATGTGTACTAGGTAAATTAACCTCATTTTCCTGGCATTTCTCCAAATTAAACTCATCTATGGTAATCATATTTACTGACGATCTGAAGGTGTTGCCACTAGAAGTCAACATGCCAACTTCCTCATTGAATGTCATTTCTTTAAGTATCGTGAGGTTGAAGAGAATTATTTGCCTCTGTCTTTTCTCACAGTATACAAATAGTTTAAATAGTTATATCTCAATCAACACCCTACCATATCATAGTAATTTGTCGCAGCAACAGAATTCATTTGTTTACTATCACAGTAATGTAAATTTTTGCATAACACGTGAGATTTTATGGGGACCAAAAAAATGCTGAACATACCATGAAACGTTAGTGTTATTACTGCCTTGTCCGAACTAAAAATTTCAGCTCTGCTACGATTTTTAACTTTTGGCCTCTGCTATAACATTAACATTTCTGGGTACATTAATAGCTATTATTTAACATTATTCTGATAATGTACATTGTAAGTCATAATTTGTTAAGCGTGACAGATTAAAGATTCACTTTCTCTAGGGGTATGATACTATTGCATTGAGAAAGTTCATGAAGACCCAGGAAAAACATTATTGCCTTATTGTTAACATCAGAATTCAGAATTATTGTAGGTCTATCTCACAGTGCTAATTGGGAAGGACTGTCCGAGGATCATCTTATCTAGTTTGATGTGCCCTCCTGAAAAAGTATTAATTAGATCCTGCTAGTGTTAATAATTTCATGTACAGGTTCTTAATTAATGATTTCCACACCAAGAAGTTAAGATCATGAAAGTAATTTGGAAAGAAAACTTCTCCAACATTTCTAGGATTTATTCAGATTTGCATAACCAAAGATGGTCTTTTATTCCAATTGTCAATTAATTCTTGAAGCCCCCTCTCTGTAGAAAACTGCTTATGTGCTATCTGGGACATTTTTTCCAAAAAATAATTTTTTAAGAAAGGATTTCTTCAGATACTTTTACAAATTAAAAGCATAGTAATAGTGTATGCCCATGCAGAGTCTCAAGCATCATTGGTAAAAATATGTTTTTGAGAGTTGAAACATCCTGTAAGCAAATTAATGTTTTATTGAGTAAATATTGTGTAATTCAGCATCAAGGTAATTCTATGTCCAATTTCCAAACAGATACTATAGGTATGTCACCGAATGCAGTAGTCTCTCTTGCCATGTCGGCATGAGGTACTATTGACAAGAAATAGACCACTATTGCACATAATAACTGAAGTACACTTCATGCTAGAACATTTGTTTGGAATTGCCTAGTAATTATTAGAAACAACGAAATATTTTTGCAGTGTGATGTGATTAAAAAATTAATGACAAAAAATGTACATCAGGCTGTTTTAGCTCTAGGAGCTTACTTTAAGACTCCTCTTTTAGATCATATTGGTGAACACAGCATATGCAAAGACTCACTTTCAACAAAGTCCAAATTAATGTTTGATGACAATGTTTGACAATTGGAATTTTTCAGTGGAAATAAATTCAGCATTAATAAATAAGGTCCATGTCACATAAGCATTCCTTTGACATGCAATTGATGTGTGTTACTTAAGTCAAAAACAGTTAAAAACTTGGTGTGTGTTCCATAGGGAGAAGTTTTTTTTGACATTACATTTATATCCAGAAGCAAAACGAGGGGCCATCTCAGCATTTGCTCAAGATCAGGGAAACTTGACGAAACTTGATCTAGACGAGGGCCATTGACCAAAGCTTAAGTACAATACTTCTTACAGTTCTTTAGAATTATATAATCCAAATGGTAAATACACTAAATGTTGTTGGTAAAATTAATATTTCTTTTCTTATAACTTAACACTATCATGCAGAACGGCCTAAGCCCTCATGTGCCAATTCACATCAAATAGGGTTATTCTACGGTGTGCATCAACAACTCTCATGCGCAGAGGCCCTTAAATGAATGTTACAAGTCACCTAGTCTATATTAATCATTGAATATTTTTAAATTCCAAAACTATTGGAAAGTAAACAGTTTCCTGAATTAAAAAACTGACATTTGTTGAAAGAAAAGTTATAGCATCCAGCTAAAATACAACTCGACAATGAAAGGTCTGATTTACTTATAACAGAAACATTTGATTTCAAATTTTCAATGGCCTTTAATACATAAACATTCAATTAACAACTCTCAATACATATCTATTTATCATATAGAATACAATTCTATATCGAACATACAAACAATATAGTATTTTGTTTACATATTTTTACATGCATGACAAACATTCATACACATGGAAAAGAGTATTTGGAACACAATTTTACTTGTTTAAATGTTACTCCAGCGAGTTTAACATTAACAGTTGCTTCAAGACTTTTGTCTGACTGGTTTCTCTTATTTCCCCAGCTAGAAACATTTCATCCACAACAGTGTATACCTGAAATATATGTCGCCATTAGACACCTGTCAAATAAATGAATTATAAAATTGCATGAATCACATTACTCACCTTGTAGAAATTGAAGACTAGGTCTAACTCGCAAACATTATGGAAATATTCATTTAGAACTTCAACAAAGTTGTGAATTGCTTCAAGGTAGCAAAGATTGTTATCATTTACATCGACACAAATACAGAAATACAAGCCTGCATATCTTCTATACACAATCTTGAAATTACGAAACTGTAAATGAAAAACAATTCGAAATCTAAATCACTGTATAAATACACAAGAAGAAACTCATTTCTCTTACATCCAACGTACCTCAACAAAATTTGTATGCTTCGCATCCCTTACTGTAACAACTGCATGAACTTCTTCAATAAGCTTTTGCTTCTCATCATCATCAAAGTTCATGTACCACTTTGCGAGACGTGTTTTCCCCGCTCTATTTTGTATGAGAATAAACCGAATCTAGTACAGAAAATCAAGTAACTGAGTAAAGTTAATCCACCAAACTTCCTTCGCTATAAGAACAGCAATTCTAACTCACCATAGCGACGAAATACGTTCTTCACGCAGTCCAAGTGAAGGAACTCGTCGCTACGTAATTTGATACAGAGCAGTTAACACGAGCTTTAGCAGATCAGGAATGGCTATGACAGTGGTAACAGCGGGTATCTGTCACTGAAGTCAGATAGCCCCTCTTACAGCTGCAAATCCCAATTCAGTATTCACAGGCACATAACTGATCGACTGAAGATGTGTCGTTCGTGAACGAAGCAGCCCAATTTAAAGATTTGAAACAGGAATCGAATAACGTGTGCATGGTGTAGGGGAATTTGTTTCTTCCACCGTAGGTATAGGGCTTTTCAGCTTGCTTTGGTCCCTAGAATTTCCAATATGGCGAACACTCGGTACTGCCAACTTCGAAAATGTAGCTACGTTTTGACGCTACATTCAAATATACGCAATTCGAGACATCAAGAATTGCTCTCGTTATAACATTAATTTTAATCCAAAGAATATTTTGAAACATTGAAATAATTACCATTTAGACCAATTACTTTGATAATTTTCTCCCGAATTTCATAATGCTGAAATATAAGAAATTTAATATTTTTCTTCATTACAAAATGAAAGTATAATTAGAAAACTTTGGAGAAATAAATTTACAAATTATATTCTTAAAAAGAATGTAAATGATCGATAAGGATATAGAACGAACGAAAGGAATATTTTTAAATATTGGATATCAAAGTATTTCTTATGTTTTATTAGTCTGCATTTTGTAATTTCCTAAGTCCTTCAATAATATATTTCATAATTCATTTCAATAGTATATTTCATCTGAATATTCAACTGAAAATTAAGGATGAGGAATTAAAATACTATGTATACATTTTTTTTACTAAGTAAATTTATTTGACAATAGTTACATACATGCATGTTTTCATGGAATCTTCATATAGACTATCCCTGGTCTGATGTATAATAAATTTGTTTTCACAATCTTGCCTATCCTTCGCTCTACATGCATCCAGAATTTTCTCAGCCTGCTCCACTGAATTTTTCCAGTTTGTAGTTGACACCTCAAAAAATGCGAGTAATGTATTCATAATACTATATTGGATTTAAGACATGGAATCTCATTTTCCTTGTGATAAATGTGTCAATGAATGTAGGATACCTGCTCTAAAGTGTGCTTCCAAAAATTTCTGGCCTTTTCTATTCCCTGGCAAGATCTTGCAAGAACATTTTTATTGAAGTATCCTTTTGTCTGAGACCAAACACACTCAGTTGAATTGAAAATGCTATGATAGAGCGTAAGCCTTGAAACAGTATACTCTTCAGTTCCCAGCATTTTATCAACTACACACCTGTCGATAACTGCCTTTAACACTTGAAACAAATTAATTAATATAATAACTGCTTAAAACATTTTAATAAAGTATATGATTTTTTAAATTTTCACATTTTACACAAAATGTTTGCAATGTTGGTTTTATTTGACTTATGATACCAACAATTTAAATCTGCCCATGGGTTTTTTGGCTAGACTTCATAATAAATCTTTGTTCTCATTGTGCACTACATACACTCCTTTTTGGGTGAGCCATGAGTGAAAAGTATAACAAATTTTCAATAATTTTTTAATCAAGTACCACGAACAAAGGACATTGAAAATTAAAATAAAATTCGCTTATCCAGCAAAGGTTTCAGACTTGAATTGTCTCTCTTTAAGGACATGGTCACGTTGTGTCAAAAATAAGATTAAACGTTGCAACAGAAACTTATCAAAAGATTAGATGTTTTTACACGCTATCTTAAAATATTAAACAATTCTACCTTGTAGTTTAAAAGATAATCACATTTACAACCTTGCATTTTAACACGCAAAGTATAGGAAAAGGATCTCATCCGACCATCAATAATTACATTTGAAACTCTTCTACATAGGGTTTCATGAGGAGGAAATGTTACAAATGTGGACTAAAATTCTCTAAAGAGAAAATAATTAGAGTGAAAATATTTTACTCTGTAGTTTGGACAAAAGCTCAAAAGAAAATAATAACTATCATCAATTTTTCGTAAGAACGAAAAGCACAGCAACTCTGCATTACGTATCACTCGGTGGGAATTTTAAATATTGAGAAACTGAGCATGGCTTGTGGGCATTGCTTTGTGAGCTAATATGAGTACACGGGGTAATTTATGATAAAATATTTAAATGGCACACAAAAACTGACATGAGCAACAACCTGACCCAACAAACTGACCTAAGGCAACTTATTTAGGCGTCACATGTGATCAAAGAATGCGTTGGCATTTACATATCAGGCCAATTTGATCAAAATTTCAACAAAGAGTTCGACCCTTACGACTTTTGAGGGAACATACACTCCCCTTGGAACTTCGCTTGGCGTTCTATAAAACGTGTTGCCGGCCTGTGCAGAGTACCTGTGCAAAGAGGGCCTGTGGCAACCTACGGAACGACCTCCGTTTCGGAAACGGTTGAAAGTAGTGAGGAAGGAACTTGATATCGAGTCCTTCACTTAATGCTTGAGACGGGAAAATTCTCGTTTAACGAAGCCTATTACGCCTTTCAAACCCACGAAGCTCTGGCAACGTTTCAACAATTAGCTAGACACGTTTTCACTATAGGACAAAGAAGTCAAGCACTCCCCTCTGGTATTCTGAGGGCTTAGTGCAACCCGAAAGCCGATTTGGTTATTGACTATGGTCCGACACGAACCCACACCAGCCACTTACACGCAGCAGTAAAACGTGAAATGTGTGTGAACAGCAGGACAACTGCAATCGCACAAACCTTCGGCTAAAATTAATGGCGTACGTGGATGATCCTCCATTGTCACGCCCCTTCGTAGTGTATACGGCTCCCGTGAAGCACACTATACAGAATCTAGCTCTGAGATATAGTACACCGTATACGAGTCGGGAAATATTGCAAATTTTAGGATTACGCGGTGGAGAGAATTGGTTTGAACTGCTCTCTATTCAGTTAAAAAAACGAGCCACAAATGTAAATAGGAAGGAAAATATTTTTCAGGGTACGTTTAAATACCTTTTCTGGTCGTTTCACAGCGAATGGCTCATGCATTTTTATAGTGAAGAGGATAGTTTATTTATAACATCCCGACTATCAATATTTAGCTCTCATAACTCAACTACTAAGTTCTCATACTAAGCTCTCATAACTCAAATGTGACTTAATCATTGTTTTATATGTCACTAATGTTCTGGATGTTAATGCGTTCCTTAATCGGAAACAAGGAGGATGCCCTTTGCGTCCAATCTGGATTTTCATGGTTTACAACAGTGTCACAATTGTATAAAAAGCAAAACACGGAACCACGAAACGCTCTCGAACACAGTACAACACAGGAGCAGAAAACACGTGCATTGCCAACCGTACGCATCTCCCATTCAAGACTCAATTTTACAATAAACATAATACTTATCACACAAAAACTAAACTCAATGTAATGTTTATTTTAAAAAAATAATTTTTACATAAGAGCATAAGGTACTGCACTTCCTAATTTTAATTACTCCTCGTGGCACTCGTCGTGCGAGGACGTTACAAAAGGAAGCGTCGAAGCATTTACTAGTTAGCCAACTGCAAACGAACGAATGAGAATCTAATAGGCTCAAGGACACAACGACCGCAAAACCTTCAGTTGTGTTGCCGGCACTACCTGTCAAAACGTCCCATTCTTATAAAAATCGCTGTATACAAATAAATGTTACTACAGCATGCACGCCAACACATAGGGAGTTTCACTGATAGTTGACTCCCCTGAATTGGACCTTTACTAAACTTAAAGTTCAACGAGAACTCCGTGAACCAATGTCGTTAGAATGGTGGGTGATTTTCACGACGTTGGTATGATCCACTTTCTCTGGGACCATTTGAACCTGAAAACTCGTAAATGCATAATATTTTGATGTGCTCTATTTCGGAGAGCATGGTAGAGGAACAGACAAAGATGGCATGGGGCATGGAGAATATGTGTTAATCTAGATCATGGCCGTCCTTCGACTAGATACATGTATCTCTCCTCTATGTGGTCGTCCCTAGAAAGAAGGAATCGACTCCAACGACGTGAAATCGGTCACAGTGTAAGATATTTCTTACACTCTGGATCGGTGAACGAAAACGAACGAGTAGCGGTAACATACAGATTGTGCTGTATGGGCGGGAACGAATATTTTCTGTTTCGTAGTTCAAATGAGAGTGTCGTGTTTTGATTAACGAATTATGAACTTCGCGGTGCAACAACAGCACGTAAACGCTCATTATTTGTTACGGTTAAGCAACATTATGACATTAATTATTCATACATTAGTGTAATTTTGAAAACTTAAAAGATTGTTAGATAAATTAAATAAATCGTTATTTTGATACATTTTTCAATGTATTTACTTCTATTCAATCAAGAATTTAAAAAAATAATTGGAGACCTAAGGAGAAATTTCTGATTTAAAAATTCTCATGTTTTGCGAATGTTGTACATGACTTTATTTTAAGAACTAATTTTGAAGAACAGATTTTCAATATTCTCAAGATTTTCAATCTTCAATATTGTAATTGCAGCAAAACGCCGAACTAATTAACCTTTACAATTTTCGAAAATTGTGAGAATTCAACAGAAAACGGACTAGCGCCATTTTTAAAACCATACTTTAACGTTGAAAATAACGTTGAGGCTTCGTACATAAAAAAAGAAGAAATCAAACAAACAAACAAAACAAAATAACAACAAATAGTCCTATATGTCGTGACATCATCGTGACAAGAGGTCGTGACATCAGTCAAATAGGGGAAAGTCAGTTTTGGTGAAAATCCTGCCTGCGATTTAGTTGCTAGCGGCTGCTAGTGTTGTCTACATACAAAACGGCAAATGTTCCGGTCCGTATGTGAAACAATTTTCGTCAATCAAAGTCCCACGAACTGAGAATTTTGACTACACAACGTATTATATCTTCCTCTAACTACATACTGGAACAAGAATTATTGATATTTTTGTATCATTGTAACAATAAACTTTCCATGCTGAAAAACTGCAGTTTTGTGACAGCATTACATAAATACCTCTATACTACGTAAATAGTACGCGACAAAGTAACTAGTGCTGCTACAGAATGGCACAGGCTTTTTCGAAGAAATATTTCCGAAGAATAAAGAAAACGATACGACATTTTGATGAATTTTGCGAAGATCAACGACTTACTGATAGCGAACAAAAATACAAATTTAATGTTAACTATGGACATGGCCGGATTTACCTACAAGCAAAACAAGCAGGTGCTTGGGGGGCCCCCCTTCACCAGGGGCCCCGCGTTTCGGAAAAATACGCATAC